TTTCCCAGAAAGCAATTAATGCGGGCAGCATAAGCATTACGATTTTTCCAGGGATTCGAAGCATGAAATACCCTGTAAGACTTCAACTCTTTGTTATGAGAGAAAAGAATATAAAAGTACTTCATAGGTCTTTTTTCGCACTGAAAATGAATCATTTGAAAATTGAAAAGAAAATACATAGAAGACTTAAGAAATACCTGCTAATCATACCATTAAATACTCATTTTAATCAATTGCAAAAAGTATACCAATTGAATGAATAAATTTGCAATGAATAAGATTTGGTGTCCACAATATACCAATTTTTTCGATGGATCTAAGAAAGACCTTGAGGAATACTCCCTTGGAGTACCCTGTATTTTTTGGGAGGGGGCTGCTGCTCCTTTTGGCTGGAATTTTTGTTTCTTTGCGTTTGGCGCTCATTAAAGTGGAGCTACCGGTTTTCGGTCTCGCTCTATTCGCGTCTGTCCGTCTCTCTTTCGCTCGCACAAGCCGCGAAGCCAGTTTACATGGCCAGTTGGACTTGGCAACTCCACCCGCCCCCTGCCCCTGCTCCTGCCCCTTTCCAACCCACTTTTGGCCAATTCGTTGGCCATTTTAATGGCCGCCGACCGAACGTCGCCGTTCCTTCTTCTTCTTCTGCTTCTTCTTCTTGGCCATTTGGGGTGTTCAGCCAGCCAACTGCAATTATTTCGTTTTTTCTGCTGGCCTTTTTTTCCAAGTGTGTTGTTGCTTTTCTTTTAGCGCAATAATTTGCCTCTCTGTGCATTAAATGGATTTAATGAATGCGGTCCTATTAACTTTTTTCCTCTGCATTTTTTTCCTGCTGAAACTTGCTGCTGCTGCTTCTTCAAGTTGCTGCTGCTGCTGCTGCTGCGGCTGTTGTTGCTATTATTAATAATAATTGGGCAAGTCGTCGTCGTCCGTCGCCGTCGTCATCTGAATTTCAAATTCAACTTCAACTTAATTTTTATTGCCGCTTTTTTTGTTGTTGTTTTGCTCAGCAAAAACTACACCGAATGCAATGCGTTCGCTGAAAATTGTTGGGGAGTAGGGGATTTCCCCGAGACAGGTTCAGGCTGCCAAAGTAATTGCTGTTGCAAAAATGGCCGTTCCAAATGGAAATTATGCGCCATTTGCCCCCAGGAGATAAGGCGGGTTTCTCAGAGTGTAGTTGCCGCTGCAGATTCCCCAGATCTGCTGGAATCTCTTTGTAAGCCAGTTGAACTCTACTTATCTATAATACCATCGGAAAAAGGTGCTACAAAATCATTCTCTTAATTTTAATAATATATAAGAAAATACAAATATCTTATTTAACTTATGAATAGCGTGCCCTGAAAATATTTAAGTCTTCAAAAATGAATATTGCATTTACCCCTTTCATTTCGTTTCATTTTTAAATAAACATAACACTTAACACATAAGTGAACACCGGGCAACATTTTCTTACCCAATTCGTCTAAAGATTTTCCATCTTGTTCTTGCACAGCGAAGCGTTTTTTCCTCAAGGGCAAACGTTTTGTCGAGCTTATCTACTGATATTTGCGAATCAATGGCAATTGATTTCCACTCCTTTCGAACCAATGATCGCTGTTGAAGCCGGGAAATGCCATTCAGATGGCAGCTGCCGGAAAAATAGGAGAAAAAAGAGACGATAACTTAGGGCCAAGCACGCTCCACTATTACCCCAACTCCGGACTCCAACTCCGATTTCGATTCGATTCGATTCGATTAGTGTCCTGCGGTGATAATCGCTTAATACAACAACGGGGAAATGGCTGAGGGACTAGGACAGCGGGAGGAGCACGCAGAGGAGCCAGAAGGAACGGCAGGAAGGGCATCACGTGCTGGATGCTGGATGGTGGATGGTGAGTGGTGGATGGTGGTGCACCTATGTGTTTATAATTCGGTTATCCGGCGGAGGTGGTGCAAAGTAAATCAAATATTAAGGGTGGCTTTCGCTTGCCATATCCATCGGGTGCGTCGTCATACAAATATATGTATATTTTTTATTTCTGCCTACTCGCATTGTTGCTTTCCCAGCTCATGATTATTAGTGCGTTTATTACGATTTCCATTTTCGGACCGTGTGGCTGGGGGCGTGGCCGGGGCAACGCCCAGTTTATATATTTCATACGCACGGAATAAAAAAGAAAACGAATATATATATATATGCCTATTTTTTTGTCCGTTCCGGTGTCAGGCTTTTTCTATAACAATGACACACGATCGACCCTCTTTGCGGCACCTTTTCCACTTCCTCTAATTTAAACCCCAAATTGATACCCCTCCATGAACTCTATGCCATCCTCATGCAGATCCTTGTCTCAGTTTCCATGCCTTCATTTTCCCTCCTTTGCTTTTCTTATTTTCGTATTTTCCGTAATAATTCATAATTTCTCTCGGTGGCCTGCAACATGTAATTTGGCAGCTGATGCATTGATGGCACATCGTTATAAGACTTGCAGCAGTTGCAATTTGCATGACGGTCGCGGTTATTAGGGAGGATGCACTTGACGATGAATCCGATATGGATATGAATACCCCCAGATAGTTAAGATCGTTATGCAAATGGCCTGGATAAAATAAAAGTGCGGATCGAGGCGAATGAAATATGGAGAATGGGGGAGGATCAAAGAAGCAATCCGATGCCGAAGATAGCTTAAGATAAATGCCACCGCATCCGAGCTATCAGATTTATTGAGTTTAATCGGAGAACGAATTAAAAAATAAACAAATGATGAATGAATGAATGAATAATAATTAAGAAGAATTCGACCAGAAGTAATTCAAATCGAATGCGTAAAATTAAATATCTAATTAAATTAAATGCGTGCGTAAAGATTAAGTTAACCTTCTACTCCAAAATATATCTTAATATGTTCGGTTCGGGTTTGTCTATATTGAAATGTTACAGTTTCTCGCTTTCCAACTAATTGAACGCCTCCACCCACAAAATGCCGCCTAAAGATCAGTCGAGTTTGTTTCCTAAGTCTTTTGTTTGCTTCGGGAAATTTTCCAAGCCAGAACAATTTGAATACGGACCACGTTATAATTAAAGGCAATAAAAAAACCAACCGCCAAATGGTTATGAATATGAATAGCTTGCTGCTGTTGGTTGTTGTATTCGTTTTTGCCACTTTTCCAGTTGTTTTTTTTTTCTTTTGCTGTTACCACTTTTTTAATTGGAGCAACAAGCTGGAAACGAATGAGCTCGGCTCATTGAAACACGCTGCCGATGTTTTTTGTATGCATTCAGTTCATTTCTGTTTGGTGGCGTTCGTTTCCACCTGCCCCCCGCGGCCACGCCCCCAATCCCCTGGCCCCCTTCCTGCACCTATTTTTTTTTATTTTTGTGGCCACGCCCCGCGCGTAATGTGGGTGCGAATGGGAGTGGAAATCGAGATGCGTGGTGGCTCGTTGGGCTAATTCCGCGGGAACCGCAATTATCCAGTCATATATATACAAATTTATGAGACCTCGCTACGTGCCCCAACCTCTTTCTTTCGCCAGCGACCGTATGCGGGCACCATTTTCTACGCGACTCCAATAATTAAGTGCAATAAAAGGCAATTAAAAGTCAGCTTTATTAACCCAAACAACAAACAATATGCAAAACAAGCCGGCTTAGCGTTAAATAATCATGCTGGAAATTGAATAACTTTGGGGCGCAGCTCAGAGTCCTTGGAATTGTGTTGAAAGTCTATACTTAATAACGAATTTCTGGGAAATGGAACTTTGCTACTAATTATTAAATATTTGGCTCTTTATAGGTGATATTACGCATTTAATTTACGCTTGTAATCTTATTTCATAAAAGAGTTTTGTTAAATGAGAGGCTATATTATTTCGTTGCTTTATTGATATTTCAATAGATATAAGAGCTCCTGCAAAGGATCGAAGTACAGGTTGTTTGTGACCACAAACCGATCGAAAAACTTTCAATCGTCAGCAGGCGTGGACCGCAAGGATCTCTCCTCATGCGGTTTTGTGGACAACCATTACAAAGGTATTACATGCTCCAGTGGAGAAAAAACAAACAAAAATGAAATGAAAAGAAAAAGAAAAACAGTTGTCCAGGGTCAGTTGCAAATGGATTTTTAAACGGTCCGAACCGCAAAGAGATGCCTTGAACAAAGAAACTGGTCGAGGACGCAAGACAGCGTGAAATTATAAGTAAGTTTTCTAGCACGCACATGATATTCGAATACTGAAAGGTGGACCGATCACGCATAACGGATCTTTTAATTAGGGCCATAAGCGCGGCGCAGGGAATCAATCAAAGCGCATCGACCAACGATCCAAATCGATTGCCAACAATCGCGAAAGATCAACAAACCTGATCCCCAGACCAGCGTTTTTCCCCTCGTTTTTCTCCCCATCGAGCGGATTGCGTTTCAGTTGGCCATAAAGCCAAGGAATCGATCCGCCGATCGGTTCGCTAATTATGCGAAATTATTGATTATTGCGGGCTTTTCACTAAACCGCCAAATTGCGTGTACGTGCGTCGGCCCGACGACCTTGACAGTTAACTCGATCGCTTTTACCTGAAAAACACTGGCAAACAAAAATAAAAAAAGGCGTTGGACCATCAAATTGGTCAAATTGTGGCAGCTATTTACTGCGTTACTGCATAGTTCTCAATATGGCACAACTTGCATTAAAATAACCAGCAAGCATCACAATATTTTGGTCTATTATCTAATTAGAAACAAGTAATAAGGGCGTAATATAAAATTACAAGTGCAATAAATGGGATTCCAGTTAAGTTAAGTTAAAGGTAAGCAGTTCTTTTAGAAAACGTATGCTGTTGATATAATAGGACGTGAAACCTGTTCGGAATTCCTGTTGCTGAAATTCCAGTACGATAATAATATAGCCCTCGAGCGAAATTCAAATTACGCGCTCTGCCCGCTGGCGCCCCCTACCGCCGGCGGTGCCAAGCTGCGCCAAGCTGTGCCGCCCATTTCCCCCGCCCGGGGGCGCTAGTCAGCATGCAACCCTGCGCGTCGACAGCTGACTGCCCCATACCCATCTCGCTCGCACTCTCTTTCCTTCCACGCCGTCAGCCGCAAAAAAAAGCAGGCGACGCTTAAATATTCGTAAATATTTGTAAATAACAGAGGCTAAAGTGCATTTGGCAATAACTAAACTAAACTCCATCCGCAGCGGCAGCCGAGTTCACAGCGGACAGCGTCCACGCGATTACTGAAAAGGTGCGTTAGCAGCCGGCAAAGTGAGGTTATGTCCGGCCGGAATATAAATAGTTGCCAACTATATACATATAAATATAGATTTACCTGATTAATCGGCTATATCTAACGATTCACCTTATCCCCGCAGACCCACGAAGATGCCGCCAAAGAAGCACGATGAGCCGGAGCGCAAGCCACTGATCGGCAGAATCGGAACGAACCTGAGAATCGGAATCGTTGGCGTTCCCAACGTGGGCAAGTCCACTTTTTTCAACGTTCTGACCCAAAGTGCCGCCCCCGCGGAGAACTTCCCCTTCTGCACCATCAAGCCGAATGAGAATAAGTATTCCCCAACACACACACACATATATATATGCATATATATCTGGCCAATTACCAGGCGAACCTGCGGGCGGTGGCAATTTCCGCGATCATTGTAATCATCTCGTGGAATATAATTTTTATGCCAGCGATGCAGCAATGGCCTCCAGGAGCAACCGCCGCCGCTTCTAATTCCAAATTGCTCTCTCGACTGGACCTTCTAAAACAGGCACAGTGGAGCCTCGATAGGCAGCAGGCTGTGCTCCAGCGAGACATCTCAGGGAATCGCAGTTCAGTTGCGAACTGTATGCTTTGGGAACTCATTATACCTTCTGTATATCATTGAGTTTTCTACAGAGATAGTCTAGAATCGGAGAGAACTCCAATTCGGTTGCTTGAAAGCTTCAATGGGTTATGCCCCATTTGCCGTCCTGGCCACACCATTTGTATCTGGTGGATTATCCTTTCTATGTATCGCATGCAGTTGGACATAGAATAGTGTCCAAGTGTATCTGCATCTTTTGAAGGTAACAGATAGTTTCCCAAGCGAATCTGGCCGTCAGCTTACAATTAACGCCACAAATGAGTGAAGAAACCTTTATTTATTCAGTTGAGGCACCTTTAACAGTTGAGGCAATCATGCTCCACTGTCTCTCGCGTTGGGGGCGTGGCGCGGCCTTAGCAATTTTATCAGATCCAGTTCCCCAATATGCAAATTGCCTCCGCCTTCGGTTCGCTTCGGTTCGGTTTCATTTTCTTGGGCTTTTTATTTGTGAGCGACTTCATTTTGGTTTCGCTGCCCCTCTGCGGATGGCGCAAAATTATAGAAAATTGCCATGATTGGCCGCCGATGCTGCCGGGCTGCCAAGCCAGTCAGTCAATCGTTTTCGGTTTTCCCTCTTGTTTTTCATACTCTTTGTACCTTTGCATCCATCCAGCCAAGTCAACCCGACTAACGTGCTTCTTAACTCTTTTTTATTTGCATCTGCTCCTGCTGATGCTGCCGCTGATGCCGCTGATTCCCTTTGCCTTACCCACACGTCGTGTTCCGGTGCCCGATGAGCGTTTTGATTACCTGGTGGAGTACCACAAGCCGGCCAGGTGAGTTTGGGGCTCCGAATGCCATCGCTTGTAAAAGACATGTATTTACATCATAAAACACATTAGGCATTAAACGCGCAACAAGTTTCGGGACTTGTTAATCGCATTACTTGCTTGCCATAGAATAGAAAAGTTCTGCTTCAATAGAAAAGTTCTTCAATCGAAAGTAATATGTACTCACAAAACAAACAACAAATATACGAAACTAGCGTGGTTCCTGCGTATTTAAACGTCGTGGACATTGCTGGCCTGGTGAAGGGAGCCGCCGAGGGCCAGGGACTTGGAAACGACTTCCTCTCGCACATCAGCGCCTGCGATGCCATTTTCCACTTGTGCCGCGCCTTCGAGGATCCGGATGTGACCCACGTGGAGGGCGAGGTGGATCCAGTGCGCGATCTGGAGATCATCTCCGAGGAGCTGCGCCTCAAGGACGAGGAGAATCTGCTCAAGAACTTGGACAAACTGGAGAAGGTGGTGGCCCGTGGCGGCGACAAGAAGCTCAAGCCCGAATACGATTCGATGCTGAAGATCAAGGACATCCTCATCGACCAGAAGCGTCATCTGCGCTTCGAGGACTGGAATGCCCATGATGTAAGTACGAAAACATCCACAGCATAGAAGATTTAAAACAGTAACATATCCAAAAGATATTGTGTAAATTTGTTAATTGAGCATGCACTTGTATTCATTTTAACTTGTCTACATGGGTAATTTGTGCACCTTGTTATTATCGTTTTCATTTGTTTAACAACAAAATGACAGAGTATGTGGCTTTTTTCGTGTGACCTTGTGATTTTTTCTCCCGTTCTTATTGACGCTACCACTACTTGCTCTTTCAGATTGAGGCTTTGAACAAGTATCTGTTCCTGACCTCCAAACCGGTCATCTACCTGGTGAACCTCTCCGACAAGGACTTTATCCGCAAGAAGAACAAGTGGCTGCCGAAGATCAAGGAATGGATCGACAAGAACGATCCCGGAGCACTGCTCATTCCCTTTTCCGGCGCCTTTGAGCACCAGCTGACCGAAAAGGACGATCTGGAGCGCAAGGCCTACGAGACGGAGACCAAGTGCAAGAGCATGCTGGAGAAGATCATCGTGACGGGCTACAAGGGCCTGCAGCTGGAGTACTTCTTCACCGCCGGACCGGATGAAGTGAAGGCCTGGACCATCCAGAAGGGCACCAAGGCTCCACAGGCCGCCGGACGCATTCACACCGACTTTGAGAAGGGTTTCATTATGGCCGAGGTGATGCACTTCGAGGACTTCAAGGCGGAGGGCAGTGAGGCGAACGCCAAGGCCGCTGGCAAGTATCGCCAGCAGGGACGCAACTACACCGTCGAGGACGGCGACATCATCTTCTTTAAGTTCAACGCCGGCGCTGGCCTCAAGGATGCCAAGAAGAAATGATACCATTTGATCGTGATCATCGCCATGTCCACCGTTCTGTACATTAACTTGATCTTATACTCCCAGATGTTTCGCTTCGCCAGAGGCTAGCTCCTCATTGCCACACCACACCCCTCACTCTCATGTTCGAGGCCTGAAAATGCATTTTGAATTTCCTTTTTTTTGTACGCTATGTAAACACGCTTATGACACACACTCCCACTCGTTGTTTGTTATGGCAGCAGGCGGGGCTTGTTTGTTGGACACCAATGCGAATCCAGCGTGATACTTGCATATTGTATAAGAATGGATACTTATCTGCGTCGCTATGTGGTGTTTTTGCTTCTCGCTAGCAATAAACAATAAGCATGGACATATTCCTGCTTGACAGGCATTGGTATTCCGGTAACCGGAGACTCGGATTTCTATTGCTATGCTGCGGTAAAAGTTTTTAATCATGCTGGCAAAGTTGCTGCTGGAAACACCTGTGCAAACCTCTTTGCCACCAGGAAAAGCGGCCAACTGCAAGGAGCGCTACTACAAGGACTCAAAGGAGAAAGGAGGAGGAGCTGTGGCTGCGGTGGGTGCTCTGTGCAAATGCAGCTGCATCCAGTGCACAAAGCATCGGGTGGCTGAGGTGGCTGGTGGGTGATGGCTGGCTGCCTGGCTGCCTGGCTGGCTGGCTGATTCCACTGACTCTGGTCGCAGCGGCAACTTGCTAAGCACATAATTTGGTTTACCGCATTGCCAAACATGCGCCGCCAGAAACACGCACATCCACTCCCAAATCCCAATCTCAAACCCTTTGCTGCTTGCTCCTGGGTTCTGTTAATCTTTGCCGAAAGAAACTTTTCTTGTGCACAGTGTGACGATCTCGAAATAATTAGCGAAAAAAATAGGGTTTTTTTAAATAAAAATGCTCGTGCAAGGGGTTCGAAATTATTTTGGATTATATATTATTTCAAGTGCAATTTACAGATTTAGTCTTATCTGTGATTATCTTCTGGATGTAGCTACTGACTAAATGGAGAGCTTAAGGTTATTAGCTGCAAATGCAAATATAAAATACTTCATTATCATGCCATAAAGGATGTGATTCCTTAATGAAGCCTTTAATTTTAGATCCAACCATTAGGAGATGTATAAATAAATGTGTTCTTGAGCTATAGAGCATTACTGACTAACTGACCAACTATATTACATATTTTTCGGTACCTTCAAGGGAATATATAAATATAAATATCTCATTTGCTTGGTATTATTCCACTGTGCGCAACTGCATGTCATCTTTGTGTGTGTTGGCAAAAGTTTTTTGCGTGAGCTCGACAACTTTTCATATGAAATGTGCAAAATTACACACATTCCCACGGTCCAAGAAACGAGCCGACAAAAATATTTTGAATGTTTTATTAGCCCAAAAACTGGGCAGAGCGTGGGCGTGCCAGTCGGAGTTGCACTGCGCCATGTAGTTAATTAAAGTGTAATGTCCTGCCCCACGAAAGGCTCCATCCGCCGAAGGACCTGCAGCAGGAGCCGCTGCAATCGGGCGCAATGCCCACGTTGACAAGGCCCATCAGAGGAGCGTGAAATATGGCCACTTTAGTGTCCGGCCAAATGGCCCGTTGGCCAAATGGCCCGTTGGCCCGATGGCACGATGGCCCGATGGCCGTGGAGCTGCTCTGTCCACGACGTTCGTCAACAAAGGGGCCACACACAAATCATTCGGAATAGAACAATTCGGAATAATGGCTGGCTCGGGTGAGCGAATAGTGTAATACCCTATGTGGATAGCAATTTACGAGATATGTTTCGATATTCCTGCGATGGATCTTGCGTGTGCGCCTAAAAGTATGCAGCAATATCTTTCCAGTGGCTGCGTGCCAAGGATGCGCTGCAATGAACGACTTGCATTATGTGCTGCATACTTTTAGACAGTTGGTATTTACAGCTGTGTTCCAACATCCATGCTATAGAACAATCTCCCGATTCTGTCAGGATAAGGATAACAAAGCCAACTATTCATTCGTGCACTCAATTCAGAAATTCATTCAATTCAATTGAAAAATGGCGCTTGAATATTTGACGCATGCTAAATGTTGGTGGGTGGTTGGGCGGCGGGCGTTAGAGCGTAGGAGGTGGGCGTGGCACGCCGTCAGCATCAACTGTCACTTGCAGGGCATCGTGGGCAGCAAAGCGTTAAAAATGACTGTCATAAATTAATGAGCGACGAATCTGGAGTGACGCATCGAAATTGAATTGAATATATTTTTCGCTGAATTGGCGTTCATTATTCATTTACAGCTGCCTCTAGACATTCGCCAATCTACATCTACATCTACATCTATATATACGAGTATGTATATGAGTGTGTGTCTATTCCGACTACCTTTAATTGCTTGTAAAAAGTGCATTGCACCGTTGTAAAAGTGCTGCACCACCCACTTCCAAGGCAGCCCGTCGTCTCAATTTCAATCCCAATCTGGCCGTAAACGTGACAATAATATAAATCAGCAGATTGCGCCGCACTCACTCAACCGATGGGCTCCACCGGAATCCGGAACCTTATCGTCATAATCACGTATCCGCATCCCCCTTATCGTCATCATTATCATCATCATGGCCAGAACCCATCATCATTGTTCCTGTCGTCTACGCCGGCATTTAACTTAATGCCCACATGCGGCGACAGCGTAAAACGATTTGAGTCCCCGGGATTAGATTCCCAGCTGCAGCAACAGGGGTTCCCAGTGGGTGTGGGAATGGGGTCAACCCCGATGGGCTTGGGGCAGTGGGTGCAGGGGTCAGGGGTCAGGGGTCAAGACTCAGTGGCGCTGCAACCAAGGTAAAACGTGCCGTTCATGGAAATAAAGCGTGTAATTGTTTTGGCAGCTGCCGAAACGTTTTAACAGCTAATTAAGAAGCCATCTGACACAGGAAAATTGGTTAGAGAAAGTGGAGAAAGCTGCTGGAAAACTATGGCAGCTATATAAAAAAATAGTTATATTTAAACTTAAGATTGGGAAAAACTTGACTGACTTAAGTATTTTATAACATCGCATTAGAGCAATCAAAAGCTTAACAAAAATGTTGTATTTTTTATTTAAGAATGTAGATCATATTCAATGATCATAAACACTTACATAAATAAGTAGGCTTTCAAAGTTCTTTTCCCAGAGTTCTCAGGGAGTTGAACTTACCGGTGACTTCGTTTTGAGCCATTTAATCAACGCCTTCGCTGTAGTAATTAAATGTTGGAAGTTGGATTCCGATGCCCCCGATCCTTGACTTTGCCGTTAACACTAATAGCGGGAGATCCTGCCGTGGTCTGCGAGTATTTTCGTTGGCCTCCTGGGAACCGAAAACTGAAATCAGAACGCTAAAATCCGCGGCCGAAAGCTGAAAGCCCAGAGTCAGTGATGAAAAACAATACATTAAGCGACTTTCCATCTCCCAGTGGGTGGTCTCAGTGTGCCTCAGTGTGCGTGCTTCTTTCCCAGTGCGAGTGTGTGTGTGTGTGGTGTGTGTGGTGTGTGAGTGTGAGTGCAAACAGACTGACACACACGGAGAGGCGCTCACGTATGGCACCGGAAAATGTGTTCATTTCCGGTGTCAGTGTCAGAAGCAACAATGGGGCAGCATCTCGCCAACTTTTGCCCGCCGTGACTTTGATGAAAAATCGCGAAGCTGACGCTGCCAGTCGACCTACGAAACGTGTGTGTGTCCTTGGCGATGGCAGCGTGACACGACACGCGCAATAGGGTCAGCCGATAGTTAATGGGCTCCTTTGCTTAAATCCTATGTCTTAAATAATGTATGCATTACTTCCACTGAGAAACTGCACTGAGAAATAGATATTTCTGTGCCACTTTGGGTTACTCCTTCCCTGATGAGTTGCAGTAGCTGCCATCTCTAGAACTTGCACACACACACACACACACACACTCGACTCCCTTATGTGCGATGCACTTCATTCAGGCGAAAAGAGAAGAGACATCATAATAATGTGGCCCATGTGAAAAACAAAGCAAACAAGCAAACAAAACCCAACCAACAAGTGAGCAGACAAAAAGAGCCTGGCGAATGCCAAAAAGTAGGCAACACATCCTATTCCGCCCACCCACACACACACAGGCAGGCGAAATGCAGCATATAGTTTTAATTTCCTCCTATACATATGCAGCGATAGAATAAAGGAATAGGTGGGTCCAGTTCGGCAACCGCAAGCTATACTCGGTCTATGTGTATTACGTGCATGTTTGTGGGTCAGGAGCCCCCAATTAAAAGCCGCACAGGTACCGAGAAATGGGAATAATGGAAACCCTGCCATTTGGCCTAGTCGAAGTAATTCGATAACTTATTGGGGGTGCATGATATGCGCAAATGTGGTGTGCAAAGCCAAAGGCTGCTGATTAAAATGATAGGGCTGCTTAGCGGCCCTACCAAAAAAATGTTGATGCACACACAGTAGTTTAATCCGTATGATTATTTAAAATATAGATATGGCACCTATTGCATTGTGGTCGTAGGACTCTTTAAAGCTGTTACTTCCATCTTTAATCCCATCATTTCCCCCGCTTTCCCTCTGCCTGCTGCTTTAATTCGCTTTCCTCGACTTTCGATTGCATTTACCGCGCCTGTCATCCGGCGATCTGAGGCATGACTAATAAGGAGCCAAGTGGGGGCTTTTCGTGCTTGACTGGGCCATCGGTGTGGAGTCTGCTCGGCCACGCCCCCAGCTGCCCTGCGCCGCCCACCAAACGGCGTGTGTGTGTGTGTGTGTGTGTGTGTGTAAAGTTATTTATGGCCAACTCCCTTGGCTTCCATATGCCTGATTTATGGCTGTTATTGAAAAATTCGTAGTGCAGCTTTTAATTATGAGGCGAGGTGCAAACAGAAAATGGGTAAATATTACAACAAAATAAAAGTGCAGGGCGCAAAAATAAACAACACACGAGTATAGTTATAGTGCCGACTGCAAATCCCCTGGCAAACAAATAAATTGGAAAGTGGGCAAAACTGAACCAGAAATTATGTGACTCCAGGGGCAATACCACGAAAAATGCGACAAAAAAAAAAATATACTTCGGGTGTCACGACTGCAAAATTAGTGTTCATTTTATTTTTCATTTATACATATATGTATATGGATTTAGTAGACTTTTTCGCTCGCTACTCAGCGATCTACCGGAATGTTACTCGTGTGGCGCCGTATGCGTTTTAATTTGCCGGAAATGAAGCGGGCATAAAAAAGCTACCTCACCCAAAAAATACAGAAAAGAAATATCGAGAAAAGGAGCAAAGGAGCAAAGGGAGACAAAACGAGTTACATGGCAAAACACGCGCCATTGCACAAAGGAGGGTAGCAGGAGGCGGTGGGCGGTGGCCGGTGGGCGGTGGGCGGCGAGTTTCCCAAGGACGAGGGGCAGGTGCCGTGCGACATGCATGGCGCAAGTGTTTTAACACAATTTAATATGGCCCGACGATGATGACAGGGACAACGGGAGATGACACTGGGCGGAAAAGCGAGCGAAAAGCGAGGGGAAAGCGAGGGAAAAGCGAGTGGAAAAGCAGGCGAACGGGGAAGGGGAACGGAGACAACTTTTCCCAGCGATGACATGCACCAGAGCCAGATAATGTGAGCGCCCAACGAGGCCCAAGACGAAAACATAGCCCGACCAAAAACCAGCTCAAAAAAGTACTGCAAAAAATGCGCTATATACCTAACGAATATATCCTACGAATATCAAAAAAGAGGGTACTTTCCATAACTGATATTGAGCACACTAAGTGAAGTTATATTGTTTCTGGCTCAAAAGAACTAAATAAATAGTTATTTAATTTATGCATCCCAAATTTGCCATTCAAACGGACACTGGTGCTGCTGATTTCTCGCAGTGCAAGCAATTCAGCGCCCAGCAAACGACCACGTTGTTGTTGGTAATGTGCATGGGTGGCTGCTAGGGGGAGGGGGCTGAGAAAAGGGGGTCGCACACCCATGCAACGTTATTAAATCATAAAGCGCAAGCTGCCGCCGCCGTCTGATGTTCGTCGCCATATTAGGGTTCTTCGAAAAGAACAAATAGCAATCATGTGCTTATAGAGACGGTGCTTGAGGTGAAGCCCGAATAAGAAAATACCATAATACTAAACCATGTATAACTATGCGATTTTAAGTCAGTTTTATCCGTTGATATTTGGTACTTGGTCCACTGTACAATTGCTCGTTGCCTACCTTAAAAGCTGGGAATCAGAAACTGGCCAATTGTGGGAGCGACCAGGAAAGAAGCACCAATTTCTCCGAGTGTTCATCGACTTCGGCAATACGAGATCGGAAAATACTGATAGCACATTGAGCACAACAGAAACTGTATGCCGTTGAACAATAATATAGTTGGAAAAAAATTGGTAATAAAAATCATTTCTCCTTATCATCAGTATGTTTTTGAAAAGCCAGCGAGTAGGCAATATTGATTAAGCATCCGTAGTCTCTCGACTTTCATCACTCAATATGCACGCATCGCGGCTGCTTTTCCTTGTAATCAGTTTTGCGATTTTCCTGCAACGGATGGCGGGACAAGACACACAACCTATAAGCATGGAGTTCCAGAATTTTAATTTTATTGCATTGGGAAACTCTGCCAGCAATGTGAGATGGGGAATGAAGGTCCGTTCAACAAGTACTCCTCGTGGAACTACTCCGAAACCCGAAATCAATCCGATGAATGAAACAATCATAGTGTAGTCGGAACTATACAGTAAGTACAAGTGATCTCAATCGGTCAAAGGAATTCTTCTACTCCCGCATTTTATTTTTACCACGATTCTTCTACTGTGGAAGGATACAGGAACCTAAAAGTCTGCAAGTCCTGCCCGCACATTGTAACATTTCCAGAAACCAAGGCAGATAGAATGTAGTCCCTGATCCGCCTCGAAGGACCAAAGCGGCTGGCGCCGCCTTTGTGGAAGCTCTAGCCGAGATCAGAGGAGCATCTTTAAGGGAGTGCAGAAAGAAGTGGCCTCACGAGGCACCAAGATTTATACACCAATTTGCCAAGTTGTATTGTAAAACTAATAAATTGTCGCCGCTAACTTGAATAATGTGTGAGAAGGACTCTCGGCTTTTATGTGTGTGCTGGTGTGTGTGTGCGGCAAGTGTCTGTGTGGGGCAAGTATCTGTGTGGGTAAAAGTATCTGCGTCTGCTGTTGGAGGCGGCACAATTATTATCCTGCTCGGTTGGCTGGCTTTCCTGGCAGCCAAAAGAGCGGGCCGTGGCATAACTTTTAAATAAACTTTCATAATTTTGCATACTTGAGATAACAAATTGCATGTTGCAAGTCGTTTCCGCCTCGCCATATCCCTTTCTCTCCCTTTCTCGCCCCTTCTCTCCCTCTCTTTCACTTTCTGGGCTGTGTACATTTGTTGTTTGGCTCGCAACTTGTAAACTTTAAATTAGATTGTTTCTCTCCTCAATGTTTTCATTTCAGTGTCCCTACTGTGACTGCAACTTGTGCATTAAGTTGTGTCTTGATGTCGCAGTCGCAGCTCGATTGACCTTTAATCTGAGATAAGTCTGAAATCTGTTCGATTGTAAAGTTTTTCCCAGCAAACAGCACTTGTACCACAATTACTTATGTACTGTATATCTCAATCCACAAACCCACCTTTACCACATCTACTTTATGTTTCGATACTATCACCAAAGACACTAAAATAATAAGATGCCTAACGGCCATACATTGGTTTTGCACTATGCAGCCACTTTTTTTTCGCATGAAAATCTAAAAATTGAATTCACTTGTGTGAGTGAAAACAGTAAACAAAAAAGTTGAGCTAGAAGACGATTTTCGGTCCGAAACCAATTTTGATCTAAGAAACGAATTTGATTAATGTTTTGGTCAATTTCGTTGTAATATGAGCTAAATATCATTTAAAAGTTGATGCCGTGACTATTATTTTTTTTTAAGAAGTTGTTTTAATATTCTTTAGTTAAAATCGCCGCTCGAATTAGCTACCGTTTACATATAAATATTTTTACTCTTAATTATCTGTAATATATTATATGTATTTTTTGGTACCCAGGGAACACCACGGGGAGGACATTACAATTGTAATGGAGTCGTGTATTTATATGACCTTCGAGTCGACTTGAAATAATAAATGTTAAACATAAAATATTTCCATGTTTATGTATGTATGTATGTATGTACGTATGTATGTATGTATGTATGTGTGTATGTATGTATGTATGTATGTAGTGCATGTATGTAAGTATGTAGTGTATGTGTTACTTGCACAAAGTAGTAAAAATTGTCTTAATTAAAGCCTGAAGAATGTTTAACTCACTGTCGGAACACATAGTTATTGCCGCTTTTAATATTTGCTGAAGAAATATTTTCTTGTAGCCCTATAATTCCCAACTAGTTCTAGCGTGGACGGTAAGGCATGTCTTCTAATTTCAAAATATTTCAGTAACCTCTCCTACCGGTCGAGCAGTGAGTGTAGTGTATGTGTAGTGTATGTACCGCTGGATGTATGCGGGTATGTATGTGGGTATGTATGTGGGTATATATGTATGCATATATGTATGTATGTATGTATGTATGTATGTATGCATATATGTATGTATGTATGTATGTATGTATGTATGTATGTATGTACGTATGTATGTATGTATGTATGTATGTATGTATGTATGTATGCATGTATGTATGTATGTATGTATGTATGTATGTATGTATGTATGTATGTATGTATGTATGTATGTATGTATGTATGTATGTATGTATGTATGTATGTATGTATGTATGTATGTATGTAGTGCATGTGTTACTTGCACAAGGTAGTAAAAATTGCCCTAATTAAAGCCTGAAGAATGTTTAAATTACTGTCGGAACACACAGTTATTGCCGCTTTTAATATTTGCTTAGGAAAAATATTTTCTTGTAGCCCTATAATTCCCAACTGGTTCTAGTGAGGACTGTAAGGTATGTCTTCAAATTTAGAGTCGCAAAATAGTTCAAGTCATCTCTCTTACCGGTCGAGCAGTGAGTGTAGTGCATGTGTTCTTAAGTGTGATTACTTGCAAGATCAAATTTAAGGTGAGTAGTAAAAATTGTCTTAAATAAAGCCTATTAAATGCCCGAAACGCATTGGCAGATTGGCAACGTATGAATCAAACGTATGAATCATAATCTGACCTGTTTTTTCATCCTTTACGTTACGTTACGTTACTCGTATTATTCTAGTGTCTTTGCCATCACTGTGTTTCGGATTAAATTTCAAAATCATAGAATGCTTGATCTGCGTGCGGCTGAAGCGCACTTAAATTCACCAAATAGCAATTTAAACAGCAGCCGATTATATTAATTGCATATCATTGCAACGCCACCAAAAACGTACAGAGTACATAGAAGCACACGAAAGGGGCGGAGCGGGGCGGGGTCAATGCAATTAGCCAAACAGTGGGTGGTCCATTAGTTACACACAGCCGCCTTGAGGCCAGACAAAAAGGCAATTAACAAAGATTTTGTGGCCAATAGTTGTCAACAGATTGTTTAATTTGTGCCGAGTGGGGCAGCAACAGCATTACAAAGCAATCCAGCCCACTGACCAAATGACCAAATGACCAACTAACCAAACACATGCTGCGACACAGAAACCAACACGTTTGCCTGTGAGTGGGGCTCTGTGCTCCATAATATATATCCATAGTCAGTTTCCAGCAGCTTCGTTTTGACAAAAGTGAGGCAAGCAAAAAGTAGAAGAAAACGTTGAAAATATATTAGAAAATACATAAATACAATGGCTCATTCGCAAATATGCGAATATATTGTCTGCTATTTGCCACTGGCAGTGGATTCAATTTCGGAATTGAGTAAATTGACCCACGTGGGCTGCCCAATGGGAGTTTTGTTGTTCTTTGGAGCCAGGGGGCCCTGGTAATATAGGGCTCCACATGCCGTCAAACTCGGCGCACTTGGCAAAGTTTTGGGGCCAGAAAACCGCAGCAAAAGTGGCCAAAGCCACCGAAGCGTCTCTGCTCTGTTCATTTTCCAGCTTTCCATACATATGTATGTATGTATATATATATAGAGTGAGGGGTGGGGGTGGCAACTGCAAGTGTCAAGTCGGAGACATGCATAACTGTGCAGATATATACTTAGATAGATATGGACAAAGGCTGCGAAGTTCGTTGCAGTTCTGTTTCAGTTTCAGTTTCAGTTTCAGTTGTAGCTTCGGTTTCAGCCCGAGCATATGTCTTAATTTTTGACCGAACTTTGCTGAAAACCCCCCTTTTGCGCTGTTGTTGTTGGTGTTTGCAATAAACTTTAATGAGTTTTCTGCTTTTCAGCCACAAAAACCACTTAACCGGCACATATGCAAGCAGAGGGCTGAAAAAACAGGTTGGGTTGCCCATCAGACGAAGCTGCCAGGGATGCTGGAGAAACTTTAGCCGCCACTGAACATTTTTGGCTAGCCAAGTTAACACTGCACACACACATGCACACACACACTCGGGCCCTAAATATATTATATACATATACATAGGCAATGACCAGCGGCTGTTGAAGGAGCAGAAAAAAAGCGATGGCTAAAAATTTGAGCGCATGTAAATTTTTGTGGCGCAGGAAAAGCGGAGCAGCGAAAAGGAGTGAGGAAAAAATAGAAGGAAAATGAATGTGGCATAAGGCTGCTGGTGTCTAACCGACATTTATGGCCAGCAAATTTCCCGCTTAGCGCTAACCAATCAACTGTGGCAAGTTTCAGTTGCATTTTCCGGCCCAGCAGCTCCGATCCACTTGCTCCGATCCCGAATTCCACATATCCCATGAACCAGCCCCCAATTCCACCCAATTCCAATCCCAATCCCGACTTGTCGATTCAGCTCCGTTTCGTAAATGTAATTTCTGACTAACGACGGAGTTTCGTATGAGTAGGCCACTTTTTTCTTGTTTTCCATCGCTTTTTTTCTCTCCTTGGCTGAGCCAGCATTCAAATGTCACTTGGCTAATAAAGCGGTCATTCACTGGGCCGAAAAAACAGTTGGGGTTGCTGGTCGGCATTGTCAAAGTTTTATGAGCGGTCAAGCTCGCGCATTTCAAGCGTCTTTCGCTTAATTACATTTGCCGCACTGCCGACTCGGCTAGCTGAATACCCTATCCAAATATTTCTTGAGATTTTATAGCTTATGCTTCTACCACTTAAGTATTTCTTGTAGTCGTTGTAAAGTTATGTCCAATTATAATCCTTTTACGTATATGTATAGTATATAGTTAAAGTGATCTTTCCGCAGCAGAGGGCTTATAGGGTAGCACGGGGTATTACTGAGCGCCATGTGAGACCCAAAAATCAAAAGCGATTTTTTGCTACCCACTTTCATAACTCGCTCAATATGTGGCCGCCTGGCAGACCATGTACAGACATCTGTCCGTTGGTTGGCCATTTCCCAGAGCCGCTTGTTTGGATTTGTTCGCTTTTTTTTTCAGTGCCGGCCCTGCAATTACTTTGTGGCCAAAGCCAAAAACTAAATGTGAACGCGACGCAGCTGCCGTTAGCATAAAGTAATCAAAAAAGTTTTGCTTTATTGTGGGGCAGCCCACTCATCATCGTCAGCATCGTCATCATTGAAGCTGCACGAATGCCATAGCTTTCTATATTCGCTTCAGCTCTATATCATCGTACATATTTGTGGCTGGTTTTATTAATTTTCGCATGGCCGGAGTGGAAAGTGCAACCTTGAGCGAGCTTAGTGCGCCACGGGAATGCAATAAAAAATTGATAAGTTTTGCTCACCGATTTCTCGGTTTTGTCTTAGTTTTCCTCTTGGCTGCTAACTTAATTGTACACTGACTGGCAGCGAGGGGGAAAATGGAAAAGCAGCAGATAAAGCCGGTGCGACGTATGGAGTGCCGTGGCAATTTGGTATTATTCGCACGTAATTCGATGAAATTTTAATAATCCAGCTACGAAGGTAATAAAGAACTTTTGGACATGTGGGGCTGAAGGCCGTTTCCTGTCTCACGTGTGCCATTTTCCAGGGTAGCCGTTGTATGCTGGCACAGTGTGGCAGTTTCTCAAGTGGCACATTTATTTTGTATAGGTGTTTTTAGTAGTTACATTTTTATTTCCATCATATTTGCATTTATTTAATTGCATATTAAGGCATAATAATAAAAATAAGTATTTACTTTTTTTGCGTTCATCAGTGATTCATTCCTTACTCCACATTCATAAATTTCAAAATACAGGGTGCGTCCTCTTCCCCACCAAATTTTTATGATCTGCCCAACACCTGCAGGTCGCACCACTCAACCACCCAACCACCCAACTACTCACCCATTGCCCCACTATTGAAACAACTTGATTGGGCTTTTGACTTGATTCGCATTGATTGCAATTGCAATTTTAGCTTTTGGCCGAGCAGAAGGGGCGCGGGAAATTAATTAAAATTACTTACCGACTGGCAAACATTTTACTTGATTCCTCTATTATTGGGCGCCAATTAATTTGCTTTAATTTTCGTGCCAAACAAAACACGAGCAATGGTAAAAATTTAATTAAAATTGAGCAAGCAAACAAACAAACATTCGACGGCCAGCTAGTTAGACCAGTTCAGCTCAGTCGAGTTCGGTTTATGTAGCACTTTGTACGGCGGAATGGGCAGTTCTTCAGAACTCATCCTCCAGCGCAGAGAACAAGTGGAGTGCAAACACATGACGCATACGCCGGGGCGGCCCAAAAAAGCGAGTTTCACTTGTGGCAAATGGCAGCAAACTAAATTGCTCAAAAGAGCCAACAGGGGCACACGAACAAACACTCACACACGCACACACACCCAGGGTGTGGCAACTTAAAAGCGTTTCTGGCCAAGACTGGCCAGAATCTCGGCGCTCGGCGCTCGGCACTTGGTACTCGGTACTCCACTCGACGCCTCCCCAAGCCGTCCACTTACTTGGTCTTATTAAAAGTTGCTGGCATTCTTGTGTTTACCTAGCACAAATGTCAAATCAGATGGAAAAATGCGCACGAAATGCAGGCAGAACGGAAGCCGAGACTCAGAACTCAGGACGCAGGACTCGGGACTGCTCAGCCTTGGAAGCAGGACCCTGAGCTGAGCTTGCATCTGCCAGATACTTTTGCATTTTCCGGATACGGAAGGAGCTGCGAAAAAGTGTTCACCTAAGTTGTAGATAGCGATGTGAGTTTAATTTTATTTAAAAGTGTTGAGGTGTGAATTTGTTCTATTAACAATGAAAATGTAGATACATTGTACGTTAGATACGAAATAATGGTTTCGCTTCTTAAGATATTAAAACCAAAATAACATTTATTAAAAGTATTTAAATTGTGCACAGTTCTATCGATATATATGCAATAAAGTCAGTAAGTAACTTATTAAACTGATTTCGAACTTAAGGATATTTGGGAAAGACCACTTCTTGCGATCCCTAACATTTAATGCATTGTTTTAAAACTCCCTTTTCGGCTGGCCAGTCAATAAAATCAGCTCTTCAATGGCACTTGCCAACATTCCATTTCCGTCTAACGACGCTGGGATTCAACGAACCCCTGGCTTGAACTCCTGTCGTAACCCCATCCTTCGTCCTTTCTCGTATTTGTTTCCTTGCCTCCTCCAAGGCAGCCACGTGTTTCCAGTTTTCCCTGGAATGTAAACACAAAACGTAAACAAACTCTCTTCAGCGCCGGCAAAATGAAATCCACCACGAGTTGGATGAGCAGTCGGGCCTCGGTTCGGCTGGCAATCGGCTTCGTTCGGCTAGTGTCCTTTCGGGCATTCGGCAGTCATTCGGGCAGGAAATTGACGAAGGGGCGCAGGCGCCGATGGCCAGTTTTGTAAACAGGAAGCGAAGGCAAGGGCCGCCGGTCTGTTCCACAGCCAACGGCAGTCCTGAAGGATCCGATTGCCAGCCGAAGGACCCTTCGGCTGCTCTGTGGCCATCGGAGCCGAGGGCCGCCTGCCAAGTCCTGGCAAGGATTCGACTTTGTTGTGGCGTCTTCCTCAGCCGCGCAACAGTTTTGTTTGAAGCGTCAACACGTGCGGTAGTCACTCGTCCTTGGTCCTGCTACCCGAATTTTGTCTGACATTTGTGAAAGGACTCGCTGACTTTCGCGTAGCGCGATCAAAATATACTCATTGCAATGTGCACGTCAGTCAGTCAGCAATCGAAGCGAATCGAATCGAATTCAACTGAATAAAGTCTCAAGAAATACGAAAAATAAGAGGAAAAAACAAAAAAACCCAATTCAGCCGATTTATTAATGATTTTTGTTGTTTTTGTTGCGTGCCGGCATTAATACAAAATAGAAAATAAACACAGAATAAAGCGAAGCAGAAGGGCAAGTCGGGCGCTGAATTAATCAAATTAAAAGGTAAAGCCAATGAAATTCCTCGACCAACTAATGAGAGGCCCCACAAAAACACAAGCACACACACATACACACAGAAAAAGCGGGGGTCTGTGTGAAAAACAAATTGCAACCGCAACCGAATCAAAGCGAAGCCAAAAAGGCACCGAATCAACGCAATTTGTGCTCATTATAATCAAGCAGGCAAAACAAACTCACATGCTTTTCAGCGTTGCCTGGTAATTTTCATTAGGCAACCTAACGCCCACTTTTCAGCTCTCGAAACATACACATGTATGTATGTATGTTGTCTATGCAGTGCAGACATTGCTATAGCGATTTTCCCAATGCCAGGAAATCGAAGACAAAGCCAAACGTTTGTTGACTAATCGTTTCTCGATTGCATTTTAAATGGGAAACTTGGAGTGGCCGGAAACGGATGTGCAGTCACCCCACAAACTCCGCCATTTTCGCAGCTCCTGCAACTGGGATTCAAATCCAAGATTTCCGCTGCGCAGAGTGTTTGTTCGATGTGAAGTGAATGTTTTAAGTGTTTCCTCTGTGCTGACATACTTTACTTTAGTTTGCTGTCAACTATTTATACGCATTTTGCATGAGTTTAGTTTGGTTTATTAATGGCATTCAAATAAATCCAACATTTGAAAATATTTTGAAAAACAAAATTCCATTTATTTGCAGTACTCGTTTTTTTTGTAAAGTTTCGTATATAGCTAAAACCCCTATCAGAAAGCATAAGTAGCTTAAATATAGATAACTTATATTTTTAAAGATTATTTCAAAATTTTATGAACTCCAGCAAATTTAGTGGCATTTATTACCTATATTTAAACAGCAAGCAGCTCATCTTTAAATAGCAATCGCTTATAATCGTAATTAATACTTAAGAGCCGTGTTTATTTGCCGTTTTAATTCGATTAGCCAGAATCAGACAAATGCATCTTGATAAGTGCCCGACACTTGAGGCTTAATTTAATAATTATGAATTATAAATGAGTGCTTTAATTACGAGTGATTGTGATAAGCGGCAGGGTCGCGAGTTTCTATGAAGGCCATCGTAATGGTTTTATTGACGCGGATTAGCTCGCTCGGCGCTATTGTAATCAATGAAAAGCGGCGGTGGAGTGGCTCTTCAGGCGAATATTTATGGCAAATATATTCCATCAAATTTTCATCAATCAAATGGCCAATTTTTGAGCAAACAACGGTCTCGTTTTCCTCACACACACATGCGAGGAGCAATTTTGGTACAACAGAAAACAAAAAAGAGAAAAATGAAAATGAAAATGAAAACAAAAACAAAAAGCAGCAACAAAAAATTTGCACAAATATTTGCCAACAATTTCGCCGAACAGCGTCGCCATCAACATCATCAGTCTGCCGACAATAAAATCAAGCTGGCAATTTATTTTGGGATTTTTTGCCATGTTTTCCATGATGCTCACACTCCGAAAATAGCCAAACGAAATCAAAACGAAATTAATAAAAAGAATTTTCATAAAAATTTGGCGCTCGCATGTAGAACTCACTGAACGGCTTCCTTCTTCCATCCGTCGAAAATGGAGCTTTTGTCTGTCGCTGGCGTCGCCAATCAAGTTGCATTCACCAAGTTGCATGCACCGTATCCTGCATCGACACAGGCTTAGAGTCCTTTGTTCTGGTTGAGCTCCTCGAAAACACAGCACTTGGATGCCATTTCTGAGCGCCAATTCACTTCAGAGCTTATTTGTAGTTTTTGGATAAGTTAATGGCTGTGAGCTGTCCGTTTTAATGGGATTTGCGTTTTGCGGTTGAACTGTGATTTTTGCCAGAAAATATGCATTAGAAATTAAGATTGGCTTCATTTGACCAACTTTCTGTGGGAGTTATTTTGTGAATTTAATGTATTTTAAATTTCAATTAAATTCAATAACCTTAGTATTAATTACAGTACATTTTTGTTAGCCTAATTTAAATGCATGTTGCATTTAGAACATTGTGCGAATTATCAAATTATTTGATATTTCATAAATAAAATATCCTTTATAATCATAAATACAACGTTCTAGCTTTTTTCACTCAGCTAAGGCTTTATTTGTTTTTATTGCGTTTTTTGTTTTCGTTGAGATTTAATGTTTATACTATAAATCAAATATTATTGCTTGCCAGAAAATTTCAACTAAAATTGCAATTTATCAAATTAAATTCTGCAGCCACAGAAGGGATCAAATTTATTTGAACAACTGCAATTGGAGTGCTTTCGATTCGACCCATTCGGCCCGCTGTGATTATTTCGGGGTAAATTACAAATGTACTTCTATGGCAAAATGGCTAAATGCCACCTTTTCCCTTCGACGCTTTTGTCCTCTTTTTGGCCATTTGCGTGTTCATGACGCAACGTTTGCGGTTGTTTATGTTTTTGAGGTCGCATATCGTGGTTGGCCAATTGTTATGCGCATTTCGTTTAATTGCACACACTCACACTCGCTTACGCACACACGCACACACACCAGGATTTTGTGGTGACATCCTCGTCGTCATCGTTATTTCGTCCATTTAGGTGTTAATATTTCAATTAGCAGTCGTTTAGGTTTACGTATCGCAAGGAATTTCCCGTAATGCTTCACGCAAGTGTTACGCCAAAAAAGCTCGTAACACACACGCCATGTGCGTTGTGGCTATATTTATTTATTTATTTACTTTATTTACTTTTTGGGAAATCGGCTTCTAGATATTTAGCTTAGTTTTACAACTCATTTGGCATTTTTGCGGCCAGGCAGTTAAGTTTGCCGATTTTATTGTGCATCATCTGGACGATCTGTGGCCAAGTGGTAAATCCAGCGTAAAATGGCCAAAAGTAAGTTGAGGCGAAGCCAACAAACTAGTTGGCTCAACTTGGCCGGAAAGCGAAGTTCTAAGGCTGCCGTCGGAAAAAGTAATTAGTTGAGAAAAATCTGTAAAAACCGAGTTGTAAAGGATTCAGTTTTGAAAGTTTAACTGTAGATTTGCTGGCAAATTTCTAGTCTTTGCAGAAAAAAAGAAAACTCTCCCAAATGAATGAAATCTCTGCATTATACCCTATGCATGCCACAAATATGTATGTAAATAATCTCGAAAAAAAGGGAAATAATCGTAATTAATCCCTAAGCAACTAAGCCCAAAACTATCCAACAAATAGGGCTCAGCAAAAACCAAATTAACAATTTATTTGCAATATACCATTGTAATCTCCCTTTGCAACTAAAAGTACGATCTCTTTAGGCCGTTCTGGGGGACAATGGTCTTCTGGTCGACTTATTTGCAAATAAATTGTTTCCAAACTGAAATAATTGCGTGCGGTGCGGGCGAACAAATAAATGCAATGAAATGAAATGCAATGCAATGGAATTATTTGATCCCTCAAGGAAATCGGCATGCATAGCCAGTGTAATATATATGCAAGTATATATACGTATAATCAACTATATATAGTAGATTTTAAAACATTTGCTTATCATTTTTATTATGAGTTGTAGGCGGCGGGGAGAGAAAAACTTTTCAATAATGAATATGCAACAGTAAATGGCCAGCGAGAGGTGGATTCACTGTGTGTGTGTTTTTTGAACATTTTAATATGCATGGCAGGGCCCGACACATTGCGAAAATGAAAAGAACAAAAGCTGGGGGCGCAGGGGCTGCATTTTCCAGGGGTGTGTGTGTGGGAATGTGGGGGCGGGAAAACCAAGCGGGGCGGGGGAAAAGAAAAACCGCCGGCGGCAACCGAAATAAATTTGTCAGCCATTGCAATATTCTTCTTCGCGGGCCGCAAATGAAACTGGAATGGAATGGAGTGGAATGGCTCTGGACCTGGTCAATAAATAAATATGCAAAAGTAAACTATATACATATATATATATATATATGGATAAATGGATATATGGATATATGGATATACGGATATATGGATATATGGATATATGGATATACATATAAATGCTCCGACTACAGCCAGCTGAAAATGCAACGCACACAAGGCTGAAATTGTGCATGAAAAATATGAAAAGACATTTTCGGTTAACGTATCAAGCACCATCCTGCCCACCAATTTTTTCGAACCTTTTGCCAAGCTGACAATAAATGTCATTTAGTTGCGGGGAAATGTGGGTCTGGAGATTCTGCAGCTGCTCAGTTGCATGGCAATGCCAATAAAATTTATTTAAAGCAAATTAAGGCTCCAATGGCCTGCGAATGATTTGTGCCCTTTCAGTTTGCAATACGAAGGACCTGCATCCTGCGTCCTGCGTCCTGCGTGCTGCGTCCAGCGGCTAATCGTACACATGCAGATATCCCTGGGAATTAAGTTCCATTTACAAGTTAAGCCCAATTGTCAGTAAACCGAAATTAAATGTTTTCAATAATTCAATTAAATTCCATTGTGGCGTCTGCTGTTTGCCCAATCATTTGAGGTCAAGAAAAAGGTCGAAATTCCATAGTTTTTATTACCCCATATATATTATATATATATGTGTATATGTGTATATGTGTATATGTATACTTATGTATATAGGTAGCTCTATGAAAAAAACATATCCGGCATATGCTGCGTAGACTTAAAGCCCAAAAAGAGCGATACATTTAAGTCTGCAACTTCGGAAAACATCTCAATTATTTATGGAATAAATGCAGCTGAATTGTGCTTTAATTCTGGGGATTTTAAATTCGTTTCCCTGGCATAAAAGCAACTTATTAAAATTCAAATAAATTGTGTGCGCCCCCAATGTGTAAATTGTGCGACAAATGCCTGAAATGCTAGATAAGTCTGCATTCAAATTGTATAATCTGCTGCCATTGTTGTGCGTCTTCGTGTGTCTTCGAGTTTCTTTTTTGCACAAAAAGTTAATTGAGAAGTGCAGTTTAATTTTTGGCCTACATGTTTTGGTGTGCGAAATAGTTCAGCAATAGTTGGCCAAATGAATTTCACTTATCGTAAGAGCCGGATCAAATGGAATGCAGAGTGTTTTGCTTTGTTTTGTTTGGATTTGTTTGGTGAAAACTGGCTATCTGACAAAATAATTTCAACGGAAAGTTGTTCAATAAAGACCTTTACTTTTAATTTGTTTTCGTTGCACTTTATGAATTTCGACTGTTGTCGATTTTCATTTTATTTATGTGTACGAGTATTCCCAACTAAAACCTTTTTTTATTTATTTGCCATTTATTTCAAATTTACAAAATTGGCTTATCTAAATATTTGTTTTCCACTCTCCTTTTGAGTTGATTTGTTTGAACGATTCTTTTCAAGTCATCTTTTTTTGGTTATTTAATGGTAGCATTATTATAGAATGAATAGTTATGCAGGTTAGAGAGACCGGATATCTTTACCATTTGATATAGGTGTTTAATTTCAATTTCCCTACTCTTCGCTGCTATTATATTTGAAATTATTGCATTTTAATCTTGGACATTGGCTTCATTAGCTTCGATCTGGCATAAACTTGATGGCCATACGCCAACTTCTCAGAGCTGGGCCAAATTTCAATTACGCCCGTGACATGACGTAAATTAAGGCTGGAACGTCTAAAAGCCCGGTCAAAACATGGGTGGCCAAAGGGGGCGGGGGCTGGGGGTGTAACGCTTGATTTGCTCTGACATAAGTGGAGGTCCTGTTTGGAGTTGTTGGACTGGCTGGTCGCCTTATTGTTACGCCTACAACGAAGCCATTCCGGCATTCCTGGCATTCAACATTCGCCATTTGCTGCTCGAGGTTTTTCCAGCCATGTCTATGTGGTCTTTTGCCTCTTTATGTGTTTGTGTGGCTCTGCCTGTGCCCGTGTGTGTGTGTGTGTGTGAGTTGGCCAACAGCGACGAGTGCATGTTAAGTGCCTTATTATCCTGTTTATGTAACCGTGCAGTTTTGTCCGGGAGAAAGAGCGGTCACATGTCCTGCTGCCGTTGTCCCGTTGTTTTCCATTTTCATGTTTTATTCAGGCCTAGTTTACAAATTGTCGCAACGGCTCCGTGGAACGTGGCTAGCACGAAATGAATATTTTGAATACAAATAACTTAAAGGCGGACGTTCAGAATAGGACTGGCACTACGAACTCGGACTCCAAATTGCTCAATTCGCCAAACAAAATGAAACGAAGAGGAAAAAAAAAAACAAAAGATGGATGGAGAACTTGTTGCCTTGTTTTTCCGCCGTCCAAAGTGGAGTTTTCGAGTAAATAATTCCGATGCCAGAATAGTTTCAAGTTCACTTTCGACTCCATGGAGCAGCTTCAAGCCAACCGAATTTTGAGGTTTCGGAAAATGTTTCTTCCTCTGCCGGCATTCTGACACTTAATTAAAGTGTCTGCTTATTACACTTTCAGGAAGCTGAAAAAGTCAAGCTCACGTTAATAAAACTAACATTTAAAATTAACTGCATTGGCAAGGGAATGGTCCGGAATGTTGGAAAAACTTTTCCCCCATTTAAAGGCAATGCAATATTTTCTGGAGGATTTTTATCACAACTCGGCTGCAAATGGTGATACAGAATTATAAAAACAAATTTTAAAGAGCTAATTACCAACGCTAGTAATCACTTTTTAACGGATTTACGGAAATTAAATTTTGGGTAATTTTCGCGTGTTTAGTAAGGGGCAAAAAAACTGATTATTTTATGACCAAAATTGGAAAAAACGGATTTTGGCAAAATGGAAATATTTTAAATGGGCATTTTAACCATAACTTGGCCAAAAATGTTCGTAAAGCTTAAAGAATAACTGTTTTGAGCAGCTAATTATCAATACTAACCATCCGTATCAATTTTTGACGGACTTAGGAAAATTAATTTTTCGGTCAATTTTCGCATATTTTGTAAGGGGTAACATCATCAAAATTTGAAAAAAATGGCAAAAAATTAGCATTCCCATTTTTGAACGCAGTTCGATTGCAAATTTAAATACGAACTCAACGATGTATAACATTCCATATTCAGACAATTATTTTTAAAGTTGTGGCCAAAAAAACGATTATTTTATTACTGAAATTCGAAAAAAATGATTTTGTCCAAAATTTAAATATTTTAAATTGGCATTTTAATCATAACTTGGCCAAAAATGATCATAAAGATGAAAGGGTTACTGTTTTGAGCAGCTTATTACCAAATCTAACCATCCCTGTCACTTTTTGACGGATTTAAAAAATTTAAATTTTTTGTCAATTTTTGCATTTTTTTTAAGGGGTAACATCATCAAAATTTGCAAAAAATGGCAAAAATTTAGCATTCCCATTTTTGAACGCAGTTCGATTGGAAATTTAAATACGAGCTCAACGAGGTATGACATTCCATATTCAGCCATTTATTTTTAAAGTTGTGGCCAAAAAACTCATTATTTTATGACCGAAATTCGAAAAAACGGATTTTCGCAAAATGGAAATATTTTAAATTGGTATTTTAATCATAACTTGGCCAAAAATGCTCATAAAGACGAAAGGGTAACTGTTTTGAGCAGCTTATTACCAAATCTAACCATCCCTGTCACTTTTTGACGGATTTAAAAAATTTAAATTTTTTGTCAATTTTTGCATTTTTTTTAAGGGGTAACATCATCAAAATTTGCAAAAAATGGCAAAAATTTAGCATTCCCATTTTTGAACGCAGTTCGATTGGAAATTTAAATACGAGCTCAACGAGGTATGACATTCCATATTCAGCCATTTATTTTTAAAGTTGTGGCCAAAAAACTCATTATCTTATGTCGCAAAATTGGAAAAAGGACTTTTGGCAAATAACATCATTATTATTAAAATTATCATTGAAATTAGAAAGAAAAAGTACAAACAAATTTAGTTCCCAGTTTTGAACGCAGTTTTATTGGAAATTTAATTACAAAATAAATGACATGTTGCACTCTATATTAAGACAATTATTTTTAAAGTTTCGGCCAAGAACGTGATTCTTTTTGGATGAACAATCAGGAAAATTAATTTTTTACCATAATTTGACACGCCTCGTTATATATTTATATCCATGTTATTCTTTGGCTATGAATATAGTATAAAATAGGATTGGAATCTGAAGAAGTTCTTTTGTTGTTCCGCAACCTCTTTGGGAAATGGAAGTTTTTATACGGAAACTCTTAATCGTTGATCGATTGCAGTCCTCACCTTTTTCCCATTCCGATTAGCAGCTGCTGTAAAGTTTTCCCCGACCAAGTTTCTAGGGGCAGCGTACTTTGCCGTACTTTTCCGTACTTTCCACCGCCCAGCCGAGTGTATTTATCATGATTTAGATCCGGACGTTGAGGAACTTCGGAGTTCGGAGTTCGGAGTTCGGAGCAGGGATACTAGGACCATCGGCATTTCTGTCTCACTCACTCGCCGCGCTCTTTTTCAAGCACTTTAGTGCAGGCTAATTACAAAAAGTGAAAACACAATTCATTTTTGCTTGTGGTTTATGCGCTTTCCTTGCTGCCACCGGCCACCGGCACGCCCACTTTTCCGCATTTTTCCATCCATCGCCGCCTTGCAGCGTTATAAAAATGTTTATGGCTGACGTTTGTTGCCATAAAAATGCGAAGTTGTCGGGGCTACCGTTGCGAATGCGATTACTTGACGACCAGAAAGGTCACTCAGCCGTGGCCATTGAAGCCATTGTTGTTCTGGTTGTTGTTTGCCGTGTCCTTGCTGCCACACCGCCCACCATCTATCACCCGCCCGCCCACTCGCGTATGTGTGTGTGTGTAGTGTATTTACGCCATTGTGTTTGTTAATAACATTTGCAGCGAGTGCATTCCATCTCTGACGTAATGCCCCCGAAGGACTAGGCCCCTCACCACGCATCCTGCGCCATTTAATGGCCAATACAAGCCCTGCCGCATACCCTATGCAATATTTAAATTCAAGCATACAATTCTACATATTTAAACCAATACAAGACAACGCAGGTTACGAGCACATCTTCTATTGCATATTACATGTATTCTTAATAAGAAGGATGATTTAAAGATATAAATTTACAGGGTACACCCTCAGTCGCAACAGCGCAGCACTCGAAGCTGCTTGTGGCCATGTTGTTCTAATTAATTTAAGTTCCTCCCGCAATCTAGGCACCGTTCACTCATTTTCCATCGCTCTTCTGGTTTTCTTTGCAGTACTTGGCCGTGCAATTACGCAGAATGCCGTTTGCCTTTTAAGTTGCATATTGTTCGGCGATCGAAGGAGGAGTGTGGCAGCAGCGCAGAGTGCAGCAGAGCGGATTGGACTGGACTGGAGTGGAGCGCGGTGGAGTGGAGGAGCGGAAAAGCGCGGAAAAGCGGAAAAACGAACGTTAAGCAGGCGTGGTGCGGTGAGGAGCGCAGAGGTGAGGTGAGGTGAGGAGAGGTGCGGTGGAGAAGAAGTGCCACTGACAGTGGCAGTAAGTTACGGGCCAAGTTTCGCCGGAGTCGCCTTGTCGCTGGCGCAACTGGCATAACTCAGAGCTGATGAAATATGGAGCTGCTGCAGGCCCTCTGCTGTACGCTGCTGCTGCTTTTGGCCCGGATGCAAGGTGAGTCCAACTCCCGAGTCCTCAGTACTCCGTCCCGTAGTCTATTTCCTCGTGGCAGCGTGACGTGTACCCTGCCATTTGGTTAATATTTGCCCGCTGTCAGCGCATCCGCTTTGATCTAGTCAAAAATTGAATAATTCGTGCCCATTGCAACCATACTACCGTCTGCGATCCTGCCCTCCTGCCAACCTGCCATTCTGCCATTCTGCCATTCTGATAGCCGCCCAACTGCCACGCCCCTTTGGGGTCAGTGTCAACCGTGTCAACGATATGCGATATGCAAATTTTCCACATCAACCTGACACGAGCTTGCATAACTTGCAACACTGCAAGTTGGGAAAACAACAAGTAGAACATGGGCATAAGCAGCGGCAACAACAACATTAATGCACTGCAAGAAAATAGTGGGCAAGCACAAGCAAAGATCTATGACTTTAAAGGAATATTTCCCAAGACTTTGGTGCCTGTAGCAATATAAAGTAATAGTGGGTATTTCATGTACCTATAAGTATGGTTCGAAAGAGCGTGTGTGGTTGTTATTGCTTGCAGCGTTGTCCTAGGCTTGCACTTTTTTCCGCAGTGCACCAACCCGCAGTCACGTCCTCCGATAAGCTTCCTGTGCACTTGAGGTTAGTTTCTGTGGTCTGGGAGTGCCACCTGCTGTCTTATCAATGCCACAGATCTGTCATCGTAAATTTAACATTAATTGCGAAGCGGTGGGCCAAAGCCGGCCCTCAGTCCCCATGGCACAGATAATGAGCAACAGAATAAATAAATAAATTGCAGCTTAAATTCGGAGAAGCCAGCCCCCAAATTACCAGAAGCGGATGCAAGTGGCCAAAAAGTTTGCACATTAATCGAGGCTACTTAGGCCAAGTTGCAAAGGAAATCAGAGGGCCATCTTCATTTGCATTTTGAAACTCAAATCGATAGATGCAAATGCGTAAAAGTTTTAACGATGTTGCGAATAAAAGAATCGCATTCCGTTTCAAATTTGATTAAATTGGAAGTCAAATGACTGGGTGGCTGCTGAATGTCAATTGGTGGTTAAACACCGAACTTGAATGCTTTGGAAATCAAATAATGCCATTTGGGCATTGACAAATCATAAATTAAAATGAGCATATAAATTACGGAACTTGTTATGCAAAACTATATTTAGCTTGGTGATTTCTCGGCCCTTAGCCATCTTTAAGATAAATATCGCTCTCTGGCTGCTCAAGAGGTGATTTAGAATTCGAGCCATTGACTATGACCTACAGACTAGCAACCGAGACTCATAAATGTTGCAGCTGCTAAATATTTACTATGAACCGACTTTAAGGCCCGCCGCAGACATACATTGGCTATATATACATATATATACATGTATATAGGTGCGCTGCATTTCATACCCGTGCGATATATAGACAACTATATAGCCGACGGCCGCACCAAAATGCAGCACGTTGAAAAAGAGGCAAGAGCGCTGGGATGGCTCAACAAAAAAAAAAATATATATATATATGTACTATAAGTATATATATAGGAAAAACGAAAATATCACGAAGATGAGGAAGACGAAAAAAATGCAAAAAACAGGAGGGAAAAAGAAATGTTCATGCAATAAATTCACGTTGAAATTTTGCAATAGTTGCGTCTGCGAGTTGCAGCAGTAAAGAGGAGAAGAGGAAGAGCGGAGCGCAGCGGCATGCGGCATGCGGCTTGAGGAAATAAAAAGGGGGAGGGTGGTGGGTGGTGGGTGGTGGTAGGCGAGGACCCCTTAAACCCAGTCAGCCCCCTAAAAATAAAACCCCCATCCGACTTTGAGTTGAGTGGTTCCTGCTGCTGCTTAATTTTGCAGCACCTCCTGTGCTTAAGTAAACTTTTCCATCCTTGCGGGAGGGGGCGTGGGGTCAGGTGCCCAAAAGGGGGCGATGGGTGGTGGGTGGTGGGTGGATTGGCGGCTGGGCGAACTCGGCTGGCCAGCGATAAGCAGGCCGCTCTCTGCACAATTTTTGTTTGCCCCATTCGATTAAACTAAACATAAATTTCATGGACGATAAATCAGCCGTGAGCGCTGGGACAGTTGCACCTGCAGCTTGCAACCTGCCCCCTGGAAAAAGGTTGGTAGCTTAGCCCATGTCCCCCCATCCCCCTTACCCACTGGCACGTGTGGGAAATCAAAAGAGTGCGGCCAGACAGGCAGAAAGAGATGGCATCTGCTGCAGTTGCAGCTGCCCCTCAAGGCTTAATAAATTAATTCGCTCTCAGCGAGATGTATCTAAATAACACCCTTCATTATGCAATTTACTGAGCTTAAGCACCCTGTGCGACTTTCTTGCTTTTCCGAAAATCAAATGGCAAACGCGAAATTGAAAGAACAATTTTCCAAAATGATTTTTGCCTAGGTCACAGCTGCCGCTGTCGGTTCGTGTCGGAAATAAACAAAATTCCAAAGTGGCAACAACTGCCAGCCAAAGTTGAATGCCCGCTACAGTGCGTTGCGGCAGTGTAAGGCGGTGTTTGACTTTGCAATCAAAAGGATGTTGTAGAAATGTGGTCAAGCTATAAGAACTAATGACTAAAGAAAAGCCACACTTCCTAAATCTTTAATAATACTATAACTATTTTCTTAACAATTTATTTATTACATGCAAGACTCGAAGCAAATGGTGCAAGTGTCTATGTAATAATTTCTATATATAATTTCTATAGTATTTAAAGGTTACCTCATCTGTTACCAATTTTGAAGTGGCTACTGAGCCGCTTTTAACCCTGAAAAAGTTGCCTTGAAAGTTATGACTCAATGCCGCCTTTGCTTACTATAACTTATTGTCGCTCGACTATAAATATAAGCAACACAGAATAGTTGCTTCTTTTAGTGCAGCTTACCTGGTCTTTTTTGGCTTACTCTCTAGTCCTATAAATTTGTGCTCTTTTTTGGGAGTCTGGCTTACCAGTCGGCTACGTAATGTGGCACGTAGCAGGCAGGGGAATGGATCTTCGGTCATTCAGAGGGGGTGGTGGAGCTGGAATGGGGGTAGGCTCCAAAGTTTGTTAGCTCCTGTGCAATGGCTGTAGCAACAACAACAGCAACAGCAACAGCAACAACGACGATATTGCTACCTCTGTTTCTCTGTGAGTGTGTGTGTTAATGCTAAATTAAGTTGCTGCACGTCGAAACATATACGTTGCTCTCTACGTATGTATGTGTGTGTGTGAGGGTGTGTGGGTGTGCGAGTGTGTCTGGGAGAGGTTGCTTTTTCGGAAAATGGGAAAATCGTTGGGTGGCTCTGGCTTGTATGCTCGACCGCCGGCAGGCTGTAATCCCAAAAACATTAAACTGGCCGCGTCAGGACATTGATTTTCGCTTTTGCCCAATATTTAGCCAGCTCTGCTCCTTATCTGTGCATGGTAAGCTTCTCCTCCACACATATAATCTATATATACGGACTTATGTGTGTGTACTGTATGTGGGAATGGTGCTGATTCTTTTTCATCTCCATTCTGCTTTTGTGCAAATGAAAATTCAATTTGAAATGGAAATTATACTTTTTCTTCGCTTATTTTCGCATTGTTATACTTGTTGTTGCTTGTTTGTTATTCTCTCCCAGCCAGTGGTTCCTGTTTTTTGGCCTTACTTCAGATTTCTCTGATTTTTTAGTGTGTGTGTGTGTGTGTGTGTGTTGCATTTGAAAATCGTTTTGATTTGCTGTTTGCCAGTGTGTGTGTGTTGTGCTGAGCAGACTTTCAAATAGTAGATGGAAATATGATTGCAAAATGTTCTACACGGTGGGAAACGCTTCGAAAGCAATCGAATATTCAACTGTTATAATTTTTCTTGATTTTCCCGTACAGTTCTATGCTCTCAAGAAGTCCAGATTCTGCAAAACCAAAATCAAATTTATGTAGCATACTTCCGTGGGCTTCGTATGCGCAATATTACGTAGCCGCCGTGTAGGTAACTAAAAACCATATTTACATGATTTGATTGTAATTGTTTGGTAATTATTATAGCGTTTTTTAGCGTTGATAGCGCGTAAGAAATATTTTCTCGTTGTGTGCACTGCTCCTTTTATCCTTTAAGCTTTTTTTAATAGTGTGTAGGAGTTCCAAAAAATTCTTCTCGTTGTGGCAATTCAATTGCTGCCCAAACAATGTCCAGATATGCCTCTTCACTTTCGAAATTGTTTATTTATTGAGTTAATCAGGGAGTGTGTGGGGGTATGGGCTGAATGTGCTGGTGATGGTTGAGTGGGTGGTGACTGCTCATGCATGACCAATAATCCTTGGAATGGAGACATAAAACAATGGCCGACGAGCATAACATAATTTCCAGCACTTAACCATGGCCAACTGCTGAACTGTTGAACCCCGTCGCCAGCCCCTTTCCACACCCTTTCCATCCCCTTTTTCCACCAATTGGTGACATTTTCCACCCCCTCGAACCAACCCACCTCCCCTTTGTCCTCTCATCCGGTTTTTGGACTCGGTCGAAGTCCAAGCGGGTCATGCATTTTTCCGCTTCGCTTGTTTTCAAACTGATTTCAATCTGTTTCTGCTGTCTTTCGATCTTCCTTCCTTCCGACTTTTCCGGCTCCAACCAACACCGCCCACCCCCCCGCGGGACCACACCCCCTCCTTGCCGTTTTTCTCCTTTTGTTTCATTGTTGCCGAAAAGTCGTTGTTTTTCTGCTTCTGTTGTTACTGTCGCTTGGCCAGTCGGTCATCATCATCAGCCTCATCGTTGGCATTTTGCTTTCAATTTGTGGCCAGAATTGAAAGAGAAAACAACCCTTCAAGACGACCTGCCCCCTGCCGCTGCCCCTGTCCTCTGACCTCTGACCTACCGCCGCCTCCTACTGCTTGTCCACAAATCGCTAAAGTTGCCACGCCTTGCGCGCTAATGAAAAGCCACTGCCAGTTGTTGCCCACGGATGGCATTTCGTTTTTTCAGAGGCATTGTGCTGTGGAGTTGGCTAAGAATAATCCATTGTAAAGCGTTTCAGGTATATTGC